TTTTTTTTTTTTTTTTTTTTTTTTTTTTTTTGCATTACTCTATAGCGGAAAAAATTTTTTGAAATGCTATCTCTGCATATAAAAACAGCTGTGAAGAAACGTTAATGGTAATAATTGCAGTTACTCTTTCAGCAAATGGTCTTAATCATATCACTTTTCAATTTTTTTTTGTTTTGTTTATTTTTTCTTATCCTTTAACACTTATTTTACTATAGTCGATTTCAGGTGTTTGAATAGTCTAGAACATGTTATCAGTAAACTGTCAAGAGCACTTAATGAACAACAGCAGAAGTTTATATATCGCCTACTTCTGGTGGTTGCAATTGTTGTTCATCTTGCGATTATTTACCCAAACATAAATCCAAAGGTTCAGAAGCTGTTGAAACATTTAAGGACATCAGTCTGCTTACGCTTCAAAGAAGTTATCGTTTGCAATTGCTTTTCTTTTTTCTGCTTATTTTAAGCAACATATATATATATCCGATTTTTTCTTGAGGCTGATAATAGTGATTACCAAATTGGGAAAGCAGGACCAGCTGAAATTTTCAGGTTTTCAAAAAGAATTTTATTTTTTGAGCAGTTTAAAATAATAAACATTTTAATATTGCTTGAACTTTTCAGATGTTTAATTTCAATATTTTGAGATTTTACATTTTTGAAGGTGACAGTCATCTTATTTTTTCCTTCTTTATTCAATAATTTTATTGTTTTAGTTCTTTTTTGCTTTTCAAAAAAGAAACTTTTTGGCTGATGAGGTCGCTGGTCTATTCGAATACTTTGTTGGACCATTTTGTGATTCATTTTCAAATGGCCAATTTTTGGTTGCCCCCATGAGTTTGTTGCGGTTATTTGCCTCTTGGTCTCGCGCACCTCTGTAAGTTAAACAATTCGTTGTTGGTCTTAGCATTTTTTAGCTTTTTATAATATAAAAACAGTAGGTTGTAGTTGAACTTTAGTTGAAATGAGTAAAGTTAGTGCCTGAACAAATGAAAATTTTCTTAATGGTTAGTGAGTCGTGGCATTGCTTTTAGTCTATGGCGCTTTAGTTGATTACTCGGAAAATTTATCATAATTTTCAGGCTGTTTGATTTTTTTCGCATCTACATTCCTTCGAAAAAGTTTGAACAAGAAACTACTGTTTTGGGCGTCATTTGTAACAGCTTGACTTCTATGACTTTATCAAGATCTGACAAAGATTGTATTGTGGACGCAGTGCTTTCTCTTTTGACTATGTCTGATGACAGCGATAGGAGGTTTCCAAAAAATGTGCATGCTGTAGACGTAAAGATGGTTGAAGGTTATTTTATTTTTTTTATCAGTTTTTTTGTTTTTGGCGTCTGGAAGGTATTTAGAGTTAGCGGGGAGGCAGCGTCCGTGTTCTACTTTTTGAAGTAGTTTTTGATATTGGTCGTTCAGGGTTTTTTCAGGCGTGAACTTTGGTACCGCGATAGTGTTAGGGAATCTTGATGTTGTTCTAAAGTTCTTTCGTACAGCGCTTTCCCAGACTGACTTTAAAAAAAGGATCAATCTTGATTACCTCGAGATCATTAATAGGTGACACTAGTCTTTTGTATTATTTCTATGCATTTGCTTACAGCTCTCTTTATTATCAATAATTAGGTTGGGATCATATGTGAAAGATAGCCAGTTAGCTCAGGACTTGATGACCACGCTTCTCAATTGTGTTGAGACTCTTATCACCCGGGAGGAAGAAAGTTTGCAAGCGGTGCTGACAACTATATCACATCTAGCCATTGCCGTGACAGATACGTCTGTGCTTTTTCGGTAAATCCTCTATAAAAATGTTTTGCAAAAGTTGTTAGCTTTATTTGGAACATGGATTTATAACGGGATTGCGAAACTCATCGTTTGATTTCAGTCATTTTACGCAGTTCCAATCGACGATTAAATCCAAGGATTCTCGGCTTGCAATGGGTGGTGTTTTGGCCTCAATTTCTCAAACCTTAATTAGTAATAACTCATGTTTAGCAGACCTGCTGAACTATATATCCGAGTTGGATGCTTACCAGTTGAAAAAAATTGACGAGCCTGATTATGAGAAACGTCATGCTGCTTATTTAAACATATCTAAGGTAATCTAAGAAAAAGTTACAAATTTTGTACGTCTTATTTGCCACAGCCTGGTCTTTCGATAAGAGGACATAGCACTTGTAATTTTTGAAGTATTGGAGAAGCTCGACTAAGAATAAATTCTTTCTAGTCCTAAAATAGTGTATTACATATGAAATTCAGCTTGTATTGGTAAAAAGTGAATATAATCAATTTTTTTGTTTGTGGCAGAAGTCATCTCGTTGCAGGTTCTAGGAGCTAATGATGCAATTGACTCTTCTATTCTCCAAATGCTGGCTCATAGTTATTATTATCATTTAGTTGAAGTTAGCTTTTCTGTATCTGTGCTATCGCCTTTAAAGACGTTTGTTTTAGTACTGATTTTCAACAGTGTGTTTGCGCATTGTTTTCTGTTAATTTTGAATGCACTATACTTTCTAAATTCGGAATTTCGTTTTAGTCAGATGACTTATCTTTACGTGGCATGGCATCGAGCGGTTTGCGCGGATTGATAGAATATGTGGGAAGCTGTTCATTGAACGCAAAAGAGAAAACTGAGTTACTTGAGAGTTACTTAATTGCCGTCGTCTTGAAAGGTTTAGTATGTGAAAGCGAGGTACTTGCATTTTTCTAGCTTTTTGGACCTTTGATCGCTTAACTTTTTTCACATTATTTGAAAAAATCTACACCACTTCTTTGGATCTTTTTTAAATGATTAGCTAAATTAGAGAATTTGCACTTTGAAAGAAAATAATTATTTAGCTTATTCGCATGGACTTTATTTCTGCTCTTGTAACACTGATAACCTCTTTCCCGTCGCATAGCCAACTGTCGTATCTCTCACAGTTGAGGAACTCAAAAGAGGTGGACCTTGATTTTTTTGAAAATTTATCACATATTCAACTGCATCGTCGACAAAGAGCTTTCAAGCGTCTAGCAGATAATTTAGAATCTGGCAGCGTATGTCGTTTAATTGTGATTAAAGTGCATGTCTTTTCCAGGCTTTCATTTTTTATTTTCTCCCATCTATCTCTCTCTTGAAGTAACCAGTGATTTTATCGATGAGGGTATCTGTCTTTGTAAAACACTTTGAATTTGAGTTATGTAGGTGAAAATGCCTGCAGCTGTTATGCAACGTTTCTTACTTCCATTGCTACAACCATATATCAAGGAAATAAATAGCAAGAATTCTGCTTTGACGGATGAAGCAGTTCATTTACTTAAGGCAATCATGTCTGTTGCGTCGTGGAAAAAGTAAGTTCAAGTTTTTATACAAAAACTATGGTCGTGGTGGTTGAGTGCACATGTAGTGTGGATATTTGATGTCTGTACAATGAGAAGAACGCTTTTTAAAAAGTCTAAGACAGTAATTTGCTCGCTTTTAGATATTGGCCGATGTTAGAGTATTATTTGAGCCGTCTTCAAAGAGGAACCACGAGTCAGAAGGCTAATTTGAAGTTGCTTTTTAAATTACTACTTTTTTGTTATGTAAAGTGGTTTTTCTGAAAATTTGGAACGTTTACTGGATTTCTGTAACTTCTCTTTTGAGCGTTAAATCTACTTTCTTTACATCTGTTATATTTAAATTATATAACTGAGAGGTATCCGCTCTTTTGAAGAATAACGACAAGTTTTTGATCCTTTGTCAGATTTTCATATCATTCACTTAAATTTGATTTTTTTTCAATTGTTATGTGTTTAGGGTCATTGTTGCTCTTATAGAGGCATTTCATTTTGATGTTAACGTTAATAGTGGGAATGATACATCAAAAGACGAAGCCGAGTTAAATGAGAATGAAAATTTAGTTGAATCACTGCCTCAGATTACTGACCAGGACAGGATACGTGCTAACGTTGTTGTGGTTAGTAATGCCAAGAACAGAGTTCGTTCTAAAGTTATCAGCGCATTGCTGCCAAAATTGAAGGATTGCGCCGTTGGAAAGGTTGCTTCTGCATTTTCGGCTGCATTGTTACACTTTTTAAATTTTGGGTTACAGACCTGGTTTCCAAAGTTCACCATCAATTTTATTATATCAACTTTTATTAGTGTTATATTTAGGATATAATAACTCATCGCCGAGTACACGTCGAAAAATCGTATGATGAAAATGAAATTCTTCAAAGGGCACCCATAACTTTAGCAACCGTCAAACTTCTACAGAAGATGCCACAGGAATTAATGGATCAACATTTACATGGGTAGTTCTTCAGAATTTCCATTTGGATATTTGTTCCAAAGTATTCTCCACGGGTTCATAACAATGGAGCTTTTAGTGTTGTCCTGAAATTGTGCGAACTTTTAATGTCTCGCTCTATAAATGTGCGGAAAGTTGCCCGTAAGACTATTATTGAGGTTGTTAGTGCGCTTGGACCAAAGTATCTTCCCTTTATTGTTAAAGAAATGAAAAACAGTTCACTTCGTGGTTATCAGGTTAGATAAATATTCAAATGTTAGGAAAGAAATTTTGTGCAAATTGTAATTGTTAAAATTTTCTTTATGTACTTGACTTTCCTTAATTTGAGATCCACAGAGTTGTAGCTTCTTTTTACCTGCTTTCTGTTTAAATAGGGTAGTTGAGCCGATATCTATAAATCAGTACAGTTTGCCTTATGAAATGTGTTTTTGTTGATTTGTTGTAGATTCATGTAATGATCTACTCGACACATGCGATTATTTTTGCAATGCAAGAACGACTTAGTACTGGAGATTTAGACCCTTGTCTTAAAGAAATAACTGAAGTTAGTTTTTTGAAGAATTTTTTAAATTTATTGTTTTATTTTTAATAGGAACCTTTCTAGTGGACTTTTAAGAATTTTTTTTAACATTGGAATAAAAAATTATTGTTTTCGAAATTCAATTGTTTTTTCTTTGTTCGACTGACATACTTTATTGGTGGCGCAGCGGCATTTGTAAGAAGTTTTTTATTTGATTTTTTTCCAATTTCAATAAATTTTAGTAGTTTTTTTGGTTGGGGGTTTTGGACTTGATGGAAGTTAATGCCCTGTTATTTTGGAAAACTGTTGCATTATTTTTGTTAGGGATTTTATTGCTGCTCTATTTTCTAACCTGAAACTAGCAAAATTTACCAATTTTTTAGAGATGGAAAAAGGAGGATAGTTTTTGTAGATTTACCTGTCGTTACATATTCCTTGCTTTTCACAATTTTTATTGTAAGACAATGGGAATGCAACAGTCAGAAAAAAATTTTTTGACTGCTATGACGGTTCTTTTTTATGATAAGAGTTTTGAGCTTAGTTCATCAACGATGAAGTACAGAGTTCTACCGTTTATTTTTTAAATCACATTATTTTTTAAGATGCACTATTGTAGATATGCAAAATGGATCTCTTCAGCGACGTCTCTGAAAAAAAAGAGCTTGGTGTTATAATAAAGGATGTTCCCGAAGCCAAAGGTCTTAGGACTTTTGATACGTATAGTTTTCTTGGCCGTTTTGTCAGTGTGCAAGCTCTTGGTTTACCAGTTTCTTGTTTAAAGGAGGTGGTTTTTGATTTTGTTTATTTCTTCTAAATTCATTTTCTCCTGGTACATTACTCACTATGGATTGCTGAAGTATTTTTTCCTAAAAATTTAAAATGCTTTTAGTCTGCTGACGCACCTTAGCGTTATTTTCAATTCTGGTTTTTCACCCCTTACCGAAATGAGCTTTTATTAAAATATTAATTTGGACAGTACGTCTTTCATTGTGAAGATATTTTCGAAGCACGCTTCCCTGCTTTCAAGGTTATCGATTCTCACCCAAACGCTAAAACAATGAAAAATGTAGAGCGGATGCTAAAGAATTATTCGGTTGGGCTGGCTCTTAATACGGGTGTCAGCTCTTTGGAAAAACTGGCATTTTCATATCATATGATAAAAGATCATATAGATGAAGTGATTAGTTTTGATGCTGCAAAAAAGGAAAATTCTACTACGGAAGGTCATGGTAGACAACAAAGCTGCCTGATACTTGAGAAGGAGCCAGGGAGGTAACTTTGTTTGGATTGAAATTATTATTGCAACTCTGTTACGAAATTCTGATACATATTAGGCTCATTTTAAAATGAAATATCTAATTTTTTTGGTTTCTAACACTTGAGTTTAGTTGTTTTACTTCAGAGTTGGTATGATAACTGCAAAGACATCTATGAAAAGTCGCATGTTTGTTTTTGTCGAATTTGGTCTTCAAATCTTGACCTCTTGTTTGAAAATGGGAAAGTTTGATGTTGAAACCACTGAAGATATAAGTCAGTTGGATCCATTCGTGCCTCTTATTGCTCAGTGTTTGGGGCTGAAGTATGACAGGGTAATTTTTTTTAAAAAGTATTTTCTGAAGTTCTCTTTTGAAATTTGCTCGAAATCAGCCAGAAATTTTTGATTTTTTCAAAGTAATTTTGTTTGCAGATTGTTTGTAATGCCATGCGATCTCTTCTGTTTCTGCTGAAGTTTCCATTACCGTCTCTTAAATCTCAAATGCAGTCTTTTGTTGACCGCTTATTTATCCTCCTGGCGGACTACGCAGATCTAGGTTTTGCGGGAAACAAAGGAGTTGTGCTTGAACTGAGCCAGCTAATCTTTAAAGTTTGTTTTGGACTGATTATTTTTTCAAATTGTTAGCAAAATTTTTTTTCTAGAATCACAGCTATTGGTTTAATTAAGGACAATTTTCAGCTTCTACGACACTAAGCTTAATTTAATTTTTTTATATTTGTTATATGTTCGAGTAGTGTTCTCATCTCAAATTAAAGTTTTTTTTATTAGTTATTTTTCTACTTTCGCAAGCGGTTTTTAGGCATTTACAAAAGTTATAAAAGGTGCCCCACATTTGACCCTGACGTCGAAACGTTTGCAACTTTTGTTGGCTTACGTGGAAACTGATATCATGGATTCACATAAACAAGCGACTGCATTTTCCTTAATCAAAGCTATTATAGGAAGAAAGTTTCAGGACGAGAAAGTAAAAACTTTTGTCAGCTGTTACTGATATGTTATGACAGACCAAATTGGTCACTAGCTTTCTGCAACAATTTTCAGATAAACAATTTCATTAAATACCTTTCGGAAGTTGCTGTGACGTCTGAATTGGCATATATACGAATTCAGTGCCGCCAGGTTACTCATCGTTACGATTAAAGATTTCAAAATTTTTTGTTTTTGATTTTCTGCTTTATTTGTTTAACTAACCCTTCCTCAAAAAAGTTTTAGGTTATTGCTCTTTTCCTCGGAAATCATCCTCAGTGCAAGAAACCTGGAAGCTATGTTGAATTTTTTTTGAATCAACTGGAATACGAACATGAAAATGGTCGCATTTCGGCAATTGAGATGCTCAATACTGTGTTCACTACTTTTACTGAGGTTTCTACAGGGGTTTATTTTTACCAGTCGAAAGCACTGATACAAAGACAGTTTAAGCACAAAAATTGCTAAATTGATTGAAAGCGTTTTAGTGTTTGATTTGTTTCAGTGTGGCTTTTTTAAATGACAGTTAATGGTTTCAAAGGAGAATTTGGAAGTTCTTGTTTATTTTTTTTACCAATATGACTTTTTGCTGTTTGTAAGTGTGACTGAAATTTTGATAATCTTGAAGGTAACACCAAAAAGTTTTGAGTATGTTCAACGGCTTTCGTGATTGCAAAATGTAGTTTTTTTAAGTTAGTCAGTTGCTTAATTAATCAATTAATTAATTATCTGTTTACTTATTTTTTTGTTGCAGAGCGTTAATGATCAGTACTGTATGGTTGCTTTTGTGAAAATGGCTGTAAGATTGGTGAACGATGACAGTCCTAAATGTCGGCGTTTAGTAGCGCTGGCGATTCGGAACTTGTTTTCTTCAGTATCAGAAGCTAAACTGAATGACATTTACCTGTCGGTTCGAGACTGGTTAGAGAGTAAAAAGGTGGTTATTAATAATTTTTATCAAGTGGGAGTGTTAGTTGATTGATAGGGTGAAGTAGTCTGTTAATTTTAATTCATAATATTTTTGAAATTTCTTTTTGTGTAAAGCGTTTTTTAGCAGTTACTTATTTAAAGATAACAAAAATCATATTTTTTAGGAACAAAATAGACGAATCGCTGCACTAATCATTATTGAAATGGGGGAAGCAATGACGGGGAAAATTTCAGGGAATTTTTCGGATTTATTTTCTATTTTCCGGAATATTTTTGAATCTAGAGCGCTAGCCAATTATTCTGAAGACACAGTAATTGCGATTATCAATTCATTTACAGCATTTTTGAAAACGTGTCAGGATCCTTCGAAAACTGCCATACAAGAAGGTCTTCTAAATGAAGTTCTTTGTAAGTCTTCGTAAAATCATTTACACGGATGATAAAAAACTATTCTTAGCAACATGCATTCATATTTCTTAAATATTGATGAAAATTAACACCTTTCTTAATCTAGATATAAGTTTTATTTTTTTATGAAAATTTTTATGGGTATTACCTTTTTTTAAAAGCCATTTCTTTACCAGTAAATGTGTTACGGTTTGTCATAATTTGGTTTTATTTCAGATAATTTGGAAAACTATGTGAAGTATTTTGGTTCTAATGCAGTTCAACTTTCATCGTCAATGCTACTTGGACAAATATTTTCCGTTGTTAGTTCATCGCTGTTCTCAGACTTTTTTCCTGCTCCTGAGAAACTGGTACAGTGGATGTGTTGGCAACTCAAAGGCACTAACTTAACTGCTGAAATAGCTGAACAGGTTCATCTTATACAGTTCATTTTTATTTTTACTGTATATAGTTTACGATGAGCTAAGTTTTTTGTCGTTGTTACTCGAAAATTATGGGTAGTTGGAAACGGCTATATGGTAAACGGTAAACGTTCTAGACAGCTAGACGCAACTGATTGCCTTCTCCTGACAGAGGTCTTTTGAAGCATATAAACGACTAATTATAGGGTATCTTAAGACTTCTTTTCCAGTTTTGGAATTGGTGTGTCTAGAAACATCGTTGCTTTTCTTTAAGTTTTTTATGCTTTGGAGATTCGTCTATATTCCTGAACTTTTCGATAGGCGCTGCTATGAAGCTCTGTCTCTTTTATATTCTCTCCAGAGTCTTCCTCGTGTTGATTTTCCCTTTTAAAACTTTTTAAATGTCTATCTACGGCAAAAGTTTTTCAATTTACATGGTGGAAGGTGGTTAGGCGCATATTTTAACATTTAAATTTATAAGCTTTTGTGGAGGTAAGATGCGAAAAGTGTGGACACGCCGGAAGGCTTTTGCACTTTTTATTGCTCGGAAAAAATTTCAGTTTTGAGGAAGTTATTACTAGTTGTTGAAAGAAACAAAAATTTATTTTAATTCAAGGACCTGCTTGTTGAAAGTTGTTGAAGAAAGCTATGCTTTTGAACGTCTGGTTAACTTTGCGATTCTGCATTGTCTTTTCTATGACACACTGACCTTTCTTACTGCTGCTTCTTGACCGTAAAGTGGCAGAACGGCAATTGTTAGTTCAGAACAAAATTTCCGAATTGTCGAATTGTGAAGGTGAATTGGTTTCTCTGCACTATAAGATTTTTCAGGCATCGAAAAACATTGTGTATTTGTCTGGCGTTCACGTAGCCGAAAATACTGTGAAATCTGTTTGCGTGAAACTGAGGAGTGTCTGCAAGTTTGAGGTTGTAAAGTTTCCGAAAGAACATCTGCGGGTCAGTATTCTGTTCTTTAAAAAGTTGAATTATTGTTTAAATTTTTCTTTCATGATATTGTGAGTCGTTGAAGTCTTCCAGTCTCAAATAGAGGTTTTTAGAGGTCATGTGTTTTCAAAATTTTTGCTGCACTCGTATTAAGGGTTGAGGGTGAAGATTTGGACGACATTTTCAATATTCTTCTTCCCTATCTTTATCGAGAATTGGGACTGAAAAATCCCGCTACCGGTTATTTCTAACTGAATGTTTATTTTTATTTTTATAGTGATTCTTGTTGTTACCGCTTCTTCCTTGGTGGCATTAGTATGTTTGATGGGTAGTAATTATGCATTTTTGATTATCTGTAGTTTTTTCTGTCAGTAATAGCAGTACTTTGTAGGCGATGATGGGTTTCAGAATTTGATCAGGGAAGTTGAGAAAGTTATAATAGAGAAAGTTGGACTTGAAAGCTACAGCAAAAAGCTTACAGAAGTTCAGATAGCCGCAGCAAGAAAAGCAGAAACGCGTAAAATGTTTAGAAAAGTAAGAAATTTGAGAATTGTTTTTATTAGCCGTATGCTGAGGTTGTTGAATTAACTAAGAGTTATTTTAGCAAGAAGCTGTTGTTGATCCTTCTATGGCTGCCCTGAAAAAACAGAGGAAGAACCGGAGAAAGATTACTGCCAGGAAACGAAAACTTCAGAGTATGAAGCCATATAGGGCAGTAAAGTCAAAAAGATCGATTGGTGACGCAGAATAGTTTTTTTAGGCTAAGCGGTTTCTTTCATTTACATTTGCTCAGTACAAAATGATTATCACATTACTTGAAAACTTTGATATTTTTCTAATAGATTATTTTTTTGTAATTTTCAGTAGCATTTAGTATTAGCTGACTATCTAGTTTCAGGATTTTTGTTGTCTGTTTTGAATAGCTCTTACTCTTTTGTTCTCGTTTCGTACGTTCAACTTAAATTCTTATTTCTTTTGGTTTCAATAGTTGTCTTGTTGCTGAAGTCTTTCGTTACTAACTACACTGTAATTCAT